AATATATTTATTTATATATTTATAATTTTCATATAATATATTTAAATATATATTTATTTTTTTTATATTTATTTATTATTTATTAATAATATATTATTTTACTCTATAAGATCAAGGATTAACATCCGACACTTACTATATTTACTGCTAAACGTATTGTTTTTATATTAATAACTTAGATCATTTTCGCCCTTAGAAGATGATATGAACACTGATATTTTTCTATAGAAAAAACATAGATATTGTTTACCGAGAAAATCTCATTTGAATCAAAGTATTTATAGATGAGAACATTTTCAAATATTTGATGGGAACCGTTCTTCGGGATTCAAAGTTAAAGGTCGTACAACTAGAACAGTTTCACAGAAATTGATTCACATACTCAGTAATAAATGAACATTAAAGATTCAAGTACTGTTTTAAGCTTTAACAGTTATCAGATTATTTGTTTTCTTCCAAATTTTCAAGGTTTAATAGTGATTTTATGATTGAAATCATTTAAAAGAATTAGTAAAAGTAATCAAATTTGAGGGATTTATAAGATGTGAAATAAAGGTTTTAAAAAACCAAAATATTTAGTTTTTTTTTTACTTTAGGTGAGATGTGATGTTTTGTTTGGTGATTTTCAGTAAAAGAGAATTTTATTTATTTATTAAGTTACTAATTTTCTAGTAAAAGAATTTTAGGTAGATTTTTTTAAGTTACCGTATTTATTTGATAAAAATGGATAAAAATTATATATATATATATATATATATATATATAGTTACACCTAATAAATTACAAATTAATGGATAAGTTGTTAGTTTTAACTCACTAACTCATTTTTAAAAAGATATTTATATATTAAAATTAAAATAAAAAATTCTAATTAAAATATTATATTTTATTATTTTATTATTAAAATATGTAAATATATTATAAATTAAATTATAAAAATTAATCAATTAAATTTTAATTTTTAATTATAGTTAATTATTTTAATACATAAATATTTTTTTAATTTATCTAATAAAAATATTAATTAATAAATAAAAACATATATATATATATATATATATATATATAATTTATATATACAAAATTATTAACAAGTTACTTACCCGTTAACTCTTTTGATGAAAAAAATTAAGATTTGTAATTCATCTTTATTATGACAAGTTAAATCATCCTATCTTAATTTTTTTCTTTAACATAAAAATAAGGAGACATCTCTAAATGGAAACACATTAATGTATTTGATTAAACTTGCAGAATGCATTATTGGAATTCGAAAGGTTAAAAACAATCTTGTTTAAAATCTAAATTACTGATGAAATTAAATTTATTAATTTTAATTATATAATTGAAAGTCTTTAAAAATCAAAATTATAATTTAATATCGCGTATCAGACTGCAATACAAATTTCCATGTTCAGATTATCAAGAATGAATTTTGAAAAAAGAAATTAATATATTTTAACGCAAATACTAAGTTAAAAATATTATATATTTTTTATTAATTTTTAAATTTATTGTTATTTTTTAAAATATTATCCTATATTAGGTTCAGTTGGGTCTATCTAAAGTACTGCCCAAGCCCAACTGAGAAAACAATTATGTCCGATTTTCATTACCTAAATCCAATTTAATTAAATTTTGATCAAAATAGTTCTTAAATTGGGCCGAATCACCCTATCTTCTGTTCGTCAATCCTCTCAAATTGGGCCCACTTTTAACACGCATAGAATCAGGGTAATGTTAAATATATAACATGAATATCTTTACTTTATATTGTACATCCTCAATATTTAATTTTATATAATAAATAAGTTTATTTTTTACATATAAATCGGCATTTTTTGTAATAATAAGTATATTTAATATATATAATTTATAATAATTAAATTTCATTAGAAATAAAATAGATTTAAATTGAAAATAAAAACTAGATTATAAAATTATTTTGAAATATTTATGCTTTTTTTTATAAAAAAAATACTAAATTAAGATATTGATAAAAAGAAGTCAGATTTCAAAAATAAAAATTAATGAAAATAAAGTATTCTGTGAGTGTAATTGGGTTGGATTTTAGGCATATAAAAGTTTAAACTAAATAAACCATAATGATTAGGTTAGTTTGTGTTAGATTCTTGGATAACCTCAAACTCTTGTTTAATATTTTGATAATATGGAAACAATTTAGACAATCATAGCAAAATTAGAATTTTTTTTGCATCATTTATTCACTTTTTTTAGTCGTTAAACAATAAAACTAAAAAGACTAAAATCATTTTTTTTAATTTAAGGAAACAAAATACTTTATTAAATTTTGAAGAACCAAAATTATATTATATTCTAAATTTCACGACTAAAAATATAATTAAATCCAAATAATCTATATGATTATATTATATGTTGAACATTACGTGTATAGTGTAATTTTTTAAATTAAATTTTTTTAATAAATTTAATAATAAGATTATAATTTATTTATCAGCCATTTAATATATATTTTTTAATTTAATAAGAATGTGTTAAAAAATTATAAAATTAAGATAAAATTTACATAATAATAAATAATAACAAAAATATATATAAGTAATGTTAAAATTTATAAAAGATCTATTTTTTATATTAAAAAATTCAAATACGTAAAATAAAAATTATATTATATTTTTTTATTTAATAAAATTTTACGTTATTATTCTTTTGAGTAATTATCACACATTTAATATAAGTTATAATAATAAGAAGATGATAAAAGAGGGAGATGAACTTGTGATTGAGAAGAGAATATTTGAAGTGAGTGAAAATATTTTTTTTTTCATAATTTTTTACCTTATATGTTTTTTTTTTTACAAACTATATTACAATAAAGATATCTTTTCTGATCGGATGGTGTGCTGGCTCGTCTCACGATACATTTTACCATCTAAATGCAATTTATTAAGTAAAATTTTATTTGCTATAAACAACAAAAAAGGGTGACTAAAATTATTTACTACAAATAACAGAAAGGAAAACTCAAAGTAGGGATTTCATTTAAAGTAAATAAGGTAGGAATGGTATGCGTAGTTAGTGATAATTGATTTTCCCGAGTGGGTGAGAAAGAGAGTCAGGTAAGGCCAAAGTTGTGTGCCTTGGCATTGCATTCCCAAACTGATGCAACACTGGACCCACCCACCACTACCTGTTGTCCCTCACGTGAATGGTGAAATATGGAAATCCATTCCACAAAACAAAGTAAATAAAAGTCAAAAAATAAAGGAGATTGCAAAGGTTTCGGGTTCAGAGGAATTACAATCACAACTAGCTATAGCCTAGGAACAACTCATGTGGCAGGCAAGCCATAAAGCCATGCCTGGAATCACTTCAAAAAGGTTCAACATTCCCCCATCTCCTGCTTCACAGTTAACGTCTCATACCTATCAAAATCTACACATACCCAGCTAAGCATTTGCATTTCTCTTTCCATTCTCCACTCTCTATTCTCCTCTGCATCAACATTTCCTCTCATTTTACCTATACTTTCTACTCTCAGCCATTCAAAATATTCTTCTTCACTTTCCTCCTTCTATGCTTTTCCTCCCTACTCTACCATATGTCAATGTTATAAATTGATATTTCATTACTCACCAACATTGTTGAGGTGTTAGATTAGGTAAAATCTTTTCACTCTTTGCAGTTTCCACTTCAAGGCAGGTACGATAAAAAGAGTCCTTATGAATGGGCCATTTGACAATAAAAGATGCCAGGACAACCACCATGAACATGTATATTTGTTCTCCCTCTCCCATCCACACATATATCTATATATATTGGAGTGATTTAGCTTTCTTCATGTGCGTCATATACTTTATTCTGCTTTAAACACAAACTACCCGACACGATCGATCAAGTGAACAAGATGAAAATTGTACCCTGTATTTTTCTGTCTTGGCTGTTTTCTTCAACAATGACAGCTCCATGCATATGTGTTTTTTCCTCATTTCTCTAGTTTCCGAGTTCCAACATAGATGTTCCATGTTATGCTGGTGTGTTGAAGCATCATATATACCCTGCCATTTTCTTCCTTCAAACAAATATGGAGCATAACATGTGCAAAATCTCAGCTATACTCTAGTTGATAATATTCATACCCTAATTATACACTCGGTTTAACTCAACCTCAATAAATAATTTTTCACACTTTTATAAGGAGTATTTGACCATATTACTAACTATATGTTACATCTTAAAAACAGTAATCAACGATAATGCAATATTTTGCATCGAATTTTAGGAATCTGTCCTAATCTAAAACTATATATTTTGGATACTACCTTGCATACGGACAAACACTCCCAACAGTGATTATTCTCTTAGAAAGAGAAAACCCAGCTTTGTGTTTGTACATTTATTCTTGATGTTTCTCTTTCACGGCCAGGTTCTTTCTGTAGGATAGGGAAGGATCAATCAATTCTGAGCCATATATAGAAGAGTTTTTGTTCCATTATTTTGTAAATTCACGTAACCACTCACATATAGTTTGAAATTCCTAATCGAAAGCCATACAGTATCTAATAAAAACGGATTCTGCTATTTTTCCTTCTCTAGTGTAGACCCAGCATGCACCTACCTACCTAAATGTGCTACACCATTAGCTACCATGTGATTATAGTTAACAGCTGTGTCTATATTAACTTGAAAAGTGTTTCTCATTACGTGCATACATGTATAAGAATCTGATAGAAAAATATCTCAACTGAAGAAGCATGCATGTTTTCATTAGTAGTATGGTTTTAGACATTAAACTAGAGGCCTGATTTAATAATATTAATTTGTTACTGCTATATATAATTACGTTTTCCATGCAATCCAACGTATCACTTATACACTTGTCTTTTGTGTTAACTATGTAGGCTCTTAAAACATCGCAGACCGTCATGTATGTGAAGAAGCTAAAAAAGCATGGCTTTTTGGGATACGAAATGAGAGAATGACACGCTCTTGAGCACTAGAACCCAAGTGCAAGCATAATGGAAGAAGTGGTAGAGAGATTTTGAGGGAGAAAGAAGAAACAACTGACAAATATTCTCTAATTTGCATTACCATTTTCAAATTTATGAAATTATGCCAATGCAATTCATCAATTATACATTGACATATATATATATATATATATATATATATATATATATATATATATATATATAATGACGAAAAATAATAAAGATCAATTTTTTATTATAATAAAATTTTAGAATTTTTAAAATTATTATAAATATATTTATAAAATTATTATCCTAATATATTTTTAGAATGTAATATTTTATATTTTTATTTGTTATTATATATTTGTCTTTTATTCTAAATAATATAAATTTCTATTAATCATTCCATTGTTCAATTATAGATTTTTTTTAATGTATAGATGAACTTTTCTTTATATTAATAAGTTTTAAAAGAAAAAGAATTTGAATTAAGTTTCTGCATAAGTTAAAAATTAAATTATAATCAATTAAAAAATTTATAAGAATCTTTTTAAAAGTTAACTTATATAAAAATCAATTTTAATATATAATTTTTTTTAAAAATATTTTCTAAAAACACATAGCATACATGAATGTCAATTCCAATAATTTTCCACCATAAATGTAGTTGGAGAAACAATATAACCTTTTTAATATAAATCTCTTAATTCAATAAAGGCTTGGTTGTAAACCTTTCATGAAGATGATTGAAGTTTTTTCTTTTTATTATCTTTAAATGAATATTTTTATTTTAAAATCCTATAAAGAATGAGATGGAAAGATAAAAATATCGAGTTTTCCATGGAAGCCTTTCGTTATTCGTTGTGTATTTTAAGTATTTGTTGGCCACATATATAAGAAATCAGAATCAGGTTGGGTGGGCGGAGCTGAATGCATATGAAAAAAGATGAAAAACCAAACACCACTTTAGAACACAAAGTTGGTTTGCTTTGTACTCTTGAATCTTGATCATATAAAAAAAAAAATAATAATAAAGTTATTTTTCGTATCTTACAAAATAAACACTTAAATAAAGATTGGGTAGTAACACACCATTTATAACTTAACCATACACCACAACATAAAGAGAGGTTTTAAAAAGGAAATATCTTGAAAAGCACACAAAAACCAGTCACTATGTATAATTTTTTTCTGATATTTTTATATTAAAAAGGAAAAACACCGTAATTAATATATATATATATATATATATATATATATATATATATATATATACGAGAAATATTTATTCAATATATTTTGAATTATAATAGATTAGATAAAAATGATTTAATAATCTATTTTGATCAATAAAAGTTTAATTAGAAATATGGTTCAATCTAATGTATTTAATAAAAAAATCTAATTTATTTTTTTATGAATATTAAATTATTTAAAAAAAGTAAAATTGGATTTTGTAAAAGTAATTCAAATATATATATTGAAAACTTTTATTATGATAAATTGAAGAAAGATTTAATTATTAAATATTTAAAGAATATATTTTGATCCATAATTATATATATTATTGTTGATTGGGTTTAAAGAAATACTCAATGATCATTAATCATTAACAAAATTAAATAAATGAATTTTATTAATATAATATTAATAGTAATTATTATTACTATTCCTTGTTAATTTTTTAGGGTAGTTCTTAAAATTGTTTAAATTTTTAGATTTTTTATTTGTTTTAAGGGGAATACGAATATCTTGGTAAAGTAAATTACATTGTGTAACTTCTTGGTAGTTATAGTAACTAATTACAATTACATCTTAGAATGGACGTAGTTATTATCTTAGGATTGAAAAAAAACACAATTGTAGTTTATGTTTATTAAAAAACATATTTTTCACTCGTATTAATTTATCTCTCAATTAAAGGTAAGAATTAATAATTTGTCAGAATTGGTATCTGACAGCACGAATAGTTGGAATTTTGATTCTATTTGGCTTCCATGCAATGCAACGTGTCCTACTCTTCAATTATTTTGATCAGAAGCAAGGAATTTCAACTTGTTCATCGTTTGAAGAAGATAAGGTCATTCTCGATAACGTTGAAGTCTGGTGTCGTTCTCGGTAACGTTGAAACCTGAGGATTCCAAAACCAGGATGTGGTAATAAAGACAAGAAACTTATTATCATTAGGGACATTTGTTTGGTGCTTTATCCACCAAAATTTTAAAATCAAATTTTTTTTCTCATTTATTACCAGAAATAATATATAATGGTTTAAATAAAATAAATTTATATTGGAACCAATTGTGAAAACTCCAAATTAATAACAACAGTTTTTAAATTTGTAAAACATTTGTGTTATTTATTTATGTCTCTCTGTTAATTAATGACCTTTCCCTATTTTCAATACTTACGAATTCTCTATTAAAATAATTTATTTGACAATTCAAATTGAATCATTGACAAGACCACATACTAATCTAGTTGGTAAAATTGGGTCATGACTATAAACCAACCTACAGGATTTGGTTCCAATATAACTCCTTTCAAGTGGGTTCTTATTTCTCTACACAACTTCACCAAGATTCACATACTAATTTTTTTAATTAAAATAATGACTTATTAATTATGACTTATTTAACTTGTTGATTAACTTATATTAATAAAATTAATAACTTATTATTACTTGAAGACTTTAAGTAATCCTCAACACAAAATATATAATTGTTCATTAGTGTTCAAAGTTTTTATCAGTACATTTATGCGCAATTGTATATCTTATTTATATATTTAAATATATATATATATATATATATATATATTATTTTTATTTTTTATTTTTATCTTTCCTCTATGTTAATTGTTTGTTTTTAATGATAAACAGACTAATTCAGCAATAATAACGATTATATAACTAACAATTCAATTCCTCTCTAAGTTTAAGATGTTAAGAAAACTTTTATTTTTCTGAGTATTGAAATTGCATGATCTATTAAAGACATTCAACTTTGTAAAAAAATATATACTATTTATCTTTTTCATGATACAGGGTTCATTGATTATCAACATCTGATCTTATGAATCTTATCTTCACCTTGTTGCTAACTCAGGTGATTCATTGGCTGATATGAATCAATGTAACAGATTGATTAGCAAACTCATTTATCTAGTTTATTTCAAGATCTGAGATATAAAAGTTATATTATTCACAAGGTAAGTAAATTCATGTCTTTTCTCAATTCAGGTAATTGAAAGTCACACCTGACAATGATTTCTTTTTTTATTTAAATAAATTATATTTTATATTCATCAAAATAAATAAAATAAAATATTAAGTATAATTATAAATTTTATTTTTAACCTGAAATAGTCATCTCTATGTTCTATAATATTTATATTAAATGGAGAGATACATATAAATACTTCCAATTTCTTTAGTCATTATTGTGTTTTTTATTTTATTTTATTTCTTTTCTTGAATAGTTGAAAATTTAAGCAACAAATTTTTTATCCAACTCTTTAGTTGAATTAAAATATAAAAACTTTAAATGTTACTAGTAAAAATATTTAACTCATTATTTAAGGAGAGTGTTAGTTATATTAATATATTTAAGTTTATTAGTTTTTTTACTTATATTTATAGATTATTTATATGTAAAAAATTGATATATTAAAAAATCCACTTAATAATGATTCAAATACTTATTTCTCATCCTATTTTTTATTAATTAGTGATCTAATATTTAAGATAAATAATTATTTTAGGTTAATGAACTACTAAGATAAAAACTAATTAAGTCTCAAACTTTTTATATATTACATATAAACTTAGTTATGAATTATAATTTTGAGTTTTAAAATAAGGTTATAATTGTATTGTATGTTATTTTTTTAAAGTGATAATTCTTTTTAAATGTAAATTATGATTTTGTCTTAGATTAATGATTATATACAACTCCTCATTCGAATTTGTATTACTTTATTCTTAAAAAACGTATTTAATATTACTTTATTCTTAAAAAATGTATTTAATATGATATATTAAATATGATGTATCTAAGAGTAACTTAGGTGAGTTATTTTTTATTTAAAAAAATATAAAATAGAAATTTATGATGTCACATATTTTTTTAAATAACTTCTTAATTTTACTTTATTGTAAGTTTTTTTAATAAATTTTATACAACTTATTATTTCTCATATTCTCTCTTTTTACTCACTTCTCATATATATATTTTACTTATTTTATTTTTGGTACATAAAAATTTAGTTAATAGAAAATATTTGCTTAATCATTTTTTAAGAAAATGTAAAGGAATTATTTTGTTTAATCTTAAATATTTGATATTTACCTAATTCAAAATTATTTTATTTATTTAAATTTGTAGATATAATAAGTAACTCGAGTTTTCATGGTTCAAAATGTTTAGTCTATATTTGGTTAAAGGGAGAAATAGGTTATTGGTTAAACAATTTTTTTTTCTCATTTATTTATTTAATTTTTTTTACTGATTTCGTGTGATATTTTTAAAAGTGATATTTAATTTAGGTCAAGTTATGTTAGGTATTTTCGAGGGAGCAAACATGGAGATTCTCACAAATGGGTCATGAGTCAACCATATAAAAGAATATAACATCACTCTCAACCCAAAATCTTAAGGCAATAGGTTATGGGTTTTTCTCACTTATAAGTTACTCAACTTTCTTATTTCTACCTAATATGAGACTTCAAACTCACACTTGAATTCTCAACATCTCCCCCTTAAGTGTGATTCCCTTTCATATTCCCCCTTAAGTGTGATTCCCTTTCATATTGGTATATTTTCCCCTCGAACGGAAGCATTTTCTAGTCATGAGTATCTAGTGATGACCTCACTTATACCGACGTTCAACTTAACGGGACTCGCTTGCCTAAAACTCTTGTCAAGAAGACTTTCGACACAAGGATCTTTCACCTACTATACTCAACTGAACCAGTCATCGGACGAACCATCAACTTTGATACCACTGTTAAGTATCAGACAAAAGCATAAGCACACACAACTAAAATAAAAAGATAAGAAAAACACCGATAATAGGCAAAAGAGTAATTCCACTAATGAAAGAAATTACAACACTTCTCTCTCTACCTCTAAGGAGGAAACAATAACACTCTCTCCTGAAAATAAAGGAAAAATAACTCTAAGAGAACCTAAAAGGAAAAACTATTTTTCTCTCTTAATTTATCTCTCAAGTACTAAAACAGTAAGAGAAAGAAAGAGAAAGTGATTTTGGTGCATCTTACAAGATAAATACTGTGCTCCTTTTATAGTAAGAAAATGAAGCATCGAACTAAGATTTCCCTGATGTGAGACTTTTCTTTTCACAATCTTCCACTTGAAGATTTTGATTAAATTAATCAAATCTTCACACCATGCTTGTTTTATTCTTGTCATTCATATTGTTTATTTTTCCACTAGGTCATAGTAGGATCGACTCCATACAAACTTGTCAACATGAATTGACTTGGTAATAACATCTGCTAGGTTCTCATCCGTGTGAATTTTTTGCATATCCACACTTCCTTCTTCCACTACTTCCCGAACAAAATGATATCTTATTCCTATGTGTTTTGTCCTGGAATGAAAGATTGGATTCCTTGTAATATGCAAGGTACTCTGAATGTCACAATACACAACAATTTGTTGTTGTATGTGTCCAAGTTCCTCCATTATCTTCCTAATCCAAATAGCTTCCTTACATGCCTGGGTGACTGTCATGTACTCAGCTTCTATGGTAGATAGAACTACAACATCTTGTAACTTGAATAACCAACTTACTGTCCCTCCTACAACTGTAAACATATAACCAGTTGTATATCTCCTTTTATCCAGATCACCTGCAAAATCTGAATCAACATAGTATCTGACAACTAGTTCTGATCCTCCATAACATAATACAACACTTGAGGTTCCTTTGATGTATCTAAGGATCCTCTTTATAGCAGTTCAATGCTCTTCACCAAGATTTCCCATGAATATACTAACTAGTCACACTGCTTGTGCAATGTCTGGTCTTGTACAAATCATGACATTTATAAGACTTCCCACTGCTGATGCATACGATACTCAAGACATTTTCATCCTCTCCATTTCATTATTGGGACTCATACTTGAGGATAATTTACAATTGATAGGAAGTGGAGTAGAAATTAACTTGTAATCTTGCATGTTGAAGCGCCACAAGATTTTCAGTAAGTAATTCTTCTGAGAAAGTCAAACCTTCCTATCTTTTTTGTCTCTATGAATTTGTATCCCTAAAATTTTGTTTGCTGGTCCCAAGTCCTTCATGTCAAACTCCCTAGTCAATTGTGCCTTTAACTCTTGGATTCGATCTATGTTGGGGCCTACTACCAACATGTCATCCACATATAATAACAAGATAACAAAATCATTATCACCAAACCTATTGTAGTATGTACAATGGTCTGAGCTCAGTCTATTGTAAACAAGGCAAATAATGAAGGAATCAAATCTCTTATACCAACATCTGGGCGCCTGCTTTACACCGTATAAAGATTTGGTCAACCTGCAAACCAAGTTTTCTTGTTCTTTAAAGTCTTCTGGTTGGAGCATATAAATTTCTTCTTCAAGATCTCCATGAAGAAAAGCAATCTTTACATCCAATTGTTCAATATGTAAATCAAATGCAACACACATAGTCAGGACAACTCTAATGGACATCAATCTGACAACCGACGAGAATATCTCATTGAAATTAATACATTTTTTCTGAGCATATCTCTTTACCACCAATCTAGCACGATATCTTTCTACTTGATCTTATAGACTCATTTGCAATCAATGATTTTTCGACCTTTCGAAAGTTCCACAAAATTTCATGTCTTGTTTTTATGAAGAATCTCAATTTCTTCCTGCGTTGCAGCCATCCATAGAGAAGCATCTAAACAACTCATAGCCTCTTGAAAAGTTGAAGGTTCTCCTTCTTCATTTAGTGGACAATACGCATCATGACTTGTCATCACATATTGTGAATGTCAATATGGTCTGACTTTTTCTCGTGTTGATCACCGGAGATCTCCATTACCAACCTCATTTGGCTCTTGATCTTTGTGCTCCTCT